TCCTTTACTTTGGTCAATGTATTTACATCATGCCTCAAGTGGGTTAAATGAAATTGTAAGAGCATCCATCACCCCCCCATACACACAAAAAACCCCCCCAAAAAAATCCAGTATTTATCTTGAGAAATTGGCACGGCTTTTAGTTATCTCATGAAATTAACTATTTTAGTTTCCCTTTCTACTTTATGATTATCTTCCAACAATTTTTTGAGTAAAACAAAACAATACATGCCAGAACAGGAAAATTATTGGAGTCTTTATGTCTGAACCATGGAGTCTTTCAGAAACCTGATTATTTTTAGTTGCTGGTTTCCAAGAAAAGCAAAAACGTTACTGGGCCATGTTGTTCAGCTTTGAGCTTTACATTTTGCAAGCAATAATATCCAGAATATTTTATGCGTCTTAGAAGTTGAAGTATTCGGAAACCTGGATATGATTAATGGTTGGTTTCTGAGTTCTTCAGTTTTGGGCTAAAAATATGTTGGCAGTCCCTACTGAATACAGTAATCCTTGTAGATTTGGTATTGGTGCAAACAAGTAAAATTGATTTCAATGTTAATGGAAAAACCATCTACATGATGACATGGATTTCTAAGTTCTGACAAAGCAAGAGTTGGAATCTAACAATAGAGACAGCTCAACATTTAGATTGTTTTTCATTAATATTGTTATCAAATTTACTTGTTTGCACCATATGATGATGAAATTACTTGGTTATATTATATAAATTAAATTGTACTTTTACTGTGGTATGCTGACTGCTTAGGAACTTCAAACTAAGTTTCTGAGGTTTATATTTTGCAAGCGCCAAGTGTAATATTCAAATATTATGTGCATCTTAGAATTTGCAATCATCAGTTATTTCTTAATAGTAGATAAAAGTGGTGATCTTGTTCTAATATGTTGCTATACTATCATATATAGAGCTGAAGTTGTCTATCTCGTAGGTTCACAACCCAAAGCACAGAACCCCAGGCCGGTTGCACCTGCAAACAGCAGTGCAGATGTCAAGGAGTCTTCTCCACTCAAGAAGATAGTTGACATAAACCATCCTCAGACATGCAAAAATAAAGGATGTGGTAAAGTTTTCAAAGAAATTGATAACCATGAGACTGCATGTAGTTACCATCCCGGACCTGCTGTTTTCCATGATCGAGTGAGAGGGGTATGCTATATAATCCGTTTTTATGATTAAATGCTGCAATTTAATAAATATTTTAAATATTGTTTGCTATCCTTTTCTATTCTTACCCTACGTCATTCATTCTTTTTTCTTTGCAGTGGAAGTGCTGCGACATGTATGTAAAGGAATTTGATGAGTTTATGACCATTCCCACCATGCAAGAAGGGATGGCATGACGCAGATCCAGTGCCTTAGCCCTTAGGCCATAAGCATGAGGAGTACTAAGTTCTTGTCATCTTAAAGAGGTTTCTTTTTTCTTTTCCTTTGTTTCCTTATATTTTTTAAGGCACTCTCCGATTACTTACAGCAACTGTAATCTAGGATATGCATTGTCTGTGTTGGAAATGTTCTTTTTGCACTCATCTCTCAACTAAAACGTTTGAGACTCTACAGTGGTTAATTGTTTTATATGAACATGGTATTCGAAATGTGAAATTGGATTGTTCATGTCAACCACCTGATATTCAAAGAGTTTCCAAAGGGTTGAAGATTTTGTGCATCAGTTTGAGAAATTTGTTTTGATACATCTATTTTCGTCGGCAAATTGTCTTTGAGAATGTTTAAACTCAGGACATATATATATACACACACACACACACACACAGAGAAAAGGGATCTACTTGCATTTTGACAATTTGATCATTGCATTTTTTCTCTATTTATATAGATTATGCGTGTCAATTTTTACACTCATCCTTAACTTTTGTAATTGTTTGCTAGTTGGTGGCTACAGTTTCCCTTACCGTTGCACTTAACATTTACCTTCCCCTAACAAAGGAACCTTGTCCTCAAGGTTGCCCTGCCCTATATTGTTGTTCTCGAGCATGAGTGGGAGAAGAGTGATCTGCTGAAGTGGATGACCCTTGAAAATTCACTACCAACCTTTGAAAAGTTTTGAGAGTTCCAGCATGTACCCCACTGACCGAGTCATGAAACTCCCTGAGTAGCAGCTGGTTCCCCAGGAATAATATTTCTTCCTTGAACCAGTATCAACCCATTGTTGTCGCTAAAATTTTGATAATCATTTGTCCCTTTGTTGAATCTGCTCTCGAATCTTTCTCATCTCTATATCCTACTTGCTTTGCATGTCTTCAAGTATCCCAAACACAGTTATAAAGGATGCCATTAACGCAACATTACCTTCTTGTGACAAAGCATCGACCATCGCATTTAATTTTCTTGACTTGCGTACATCTCCCCCCTATGATAGGTTGATGCCCCCTATTTATCCGTGCACTAAACGTCTGGTTTTAATATGCGAGTGATTGGTTTTCATGCGTCAAAACTGCCCCTATTTTTGCACCTGAAGCATCAGTCTCTACCATGAACACTGTCAAAGCGGGGTAGCCTTGATACTAGAGTAAAACAAAGACAACTTCAGTTGATCATAAGCCTTTTAGGCTGCGTTCCATTTAAAGGACTGCCTTTTTCTAAGGAGGTCAATTAATGGTACAGCCACATTAGCATACCCTTCAATAAATCTCTGGTAGTAGCCGGCAGTGCCCAAGAGTCCCCGAATATCCTTTACTGAAGTTGGTACTGGCCAATACTGTATAGCTTTTATATCGTTTCGATCCACTTTTAGGCCTAGACTTGTTACTATATGGCTTAAGTATTATACTTTCGAAACTTTTAGCTACAACTTTGTATCCTTTAGCACTTGCAGAACAACTTAAATGTTCTTCACATGCTTGTGCTAGTCCTTACTGAACATCACGATGTCCTCCAAAAAATTAAAACAAATTTTCACAGGACTGGATAGAAATTTTCGTCCGTCATTGACTGAAACGTTAATGGTGCGTTGGTAAACCCGAATGGAATTATGACCAACTCATAATGCCCTTCATATGTGCGAGAGGTTGTCTTTGGTAAATCCGCTAATAGAACCTGATATGATGATAACCTACCAAGAGATCACAAGATTCAAACCTTAGAAAAATAATTTGCTGCTCTAAGTTCATCAAACAATTCATCTATCATCAGGATAGGGAACTTATCTTTAACGATAGTTGCGTTTAAGTGTTTTGTAGTCTATGCAGAACCTCTATGTGCCGTCCTTTTTTTACTAGCAAGACCGCTGAGGAAAAAGGGTTGTTGCTCCTTTGAATTAAACATCCTTCCAACATTTGCTTTACCCGTCGCTCGATCTCACCCTGCTGAAAATTTGGATACCGATAAGGTTTCACATTGACCGGTGGTTTTCCTGGTTCCAAGTAAACAGCATGACCAATCTCCCTGATAGGAGGCAAAGCCTTGGCGCAGCAAACCCCTCCCCCCCGGACTCTTTTAGCAACTGAAGTATTTCTTCTCGATCTTCCTCGACTACAAACTCAAACTTAGGTTGTATTTGTAATCGATAGAAACCTGCAATGGCATCGGTGTCAATCATTTGTAGTCCATTGTAACTCAAATGTCAAATTGGAGAAGTCCATTGTAACTACTGCTCCTAGGGCGGCCATCTAAGCTACTCCTAAAATTAATTCAGTTTCTTCTAATGACATGACATAAAAATTAAATGAAGCTAATGGCTGCTCCCCTAAACTCTTTTATAAAGCTCATCAGTTGCCAACCTTCTACACCAAATCTATTACCTCACCATTTGTCATTCTTGCTCACTCATCATCATTTATAAAAAAAATAGTTGAGGTTCCTTGCATTTATACCTCGGTACTAATGGGGCCTCACAGTAGTAGCACACGTCTTTGTCGGGTCTAACTTGTGCTTCAGCAGCAGATATTCGATAAGGAGCAAGGGGATTAGCTTGTTGCGTCTAACTTTTGCTTCAGCAGCGGATGTGGCAACTGACATCACAATAGTAGCACTGTCCTTTGTTGCATTTAGGCCTGATAACCCCTTTGGTTCGTTAGCAAAGTGTGCGGGGCATGTCAGTTTTTACCTCATTTAATTTCTTCTCGTGGAAACCGACTTGGGCGAGAACTTCATGCATAGAAGTGGGTTGTTGGGCCAATACCTCATTCTCAATGTCCAATCGAAGCCCAGACATAAAACATTGTGTTAAAAAATCTACGACTTCCACGCTTGATTAAACATGTTCACGCCCTAATCCTTGAATCCTTTGGCTTATGAACGAGTAATGGAACCCTTAGGTAGCTTTATTGATGCGTACAAGGTTCCATGAGTTTCTTTATCAGCCGTACTCGCATCACATGACACAAGAAGAGAAGTAATTTTCTGGAGAAAAAAAGAAGAAACATCCTTTATTTAAATATTTTTGAATATACAATGAATGTGGTGGTTGCCTTTCATCCCTATATGATTCCTGTGAATCTAAACTCTCCCCTTTGATTTTTGCAGATGCTCTCTTTCTAAATCTCGGCTACCTATTTGCATCAAAGAGGAATTCTAAAAATTTAACTCTCAATATTTCAATATTCTATCAATTTAACCCCTCTTCCTTTCTATTCTTCTCCCTCACCATCTTCACCCTTCCACTATTCCTCCATTAATAAACACCATCTTACTCTATTTACATATTTATTATTTTGATTAGAACTATTATCAAGTGTATGACTTTACTTTTAATTAATGCTAAAGTTTCATTCGACTGATTACAGGAAATATTTTAAACATTTTATCAATTAAATTTGGCTCAACTTGATGGGGATATTTTAGCATGCCTAGTGTGTAAAGATGTTTCCATAAAGAGTGGAGGACCAGCTTTACTAGTTTCCTCAAATTTAACATTTAGACACGTATACAGCTTTCATGATGAACATTTCATGCTCCTTTTCTCCTTTTCTGGAAATCATGAAAAAAGCTAACACAAATCTCACGACTGCTGTACATTGCTATATCTTCCAAAAGTCTTTATTTTCTTATCAAGGAATAGAATAAATACAATTCAATTATTTATGTACAAGTATCCACTGTTGTCAACAAAAACATGCTTGCTGTTTTGCCCGCTTTCGAAGCGTGAGAAGAAGGTGACAACCGAAACTGCTGAGGGACTTCAGACTACATCAAGTCTCAACCTCCTGTGACAAAAAAAAAAAAGAGTAAATGAAGATAATATGATTCGTGTTCTTAAATGCCATATTCAATAGATCATTCATTTATCCTCTATATGCATCAAAATGTGAGTACATATATAAATACATATCTATAAACTTGTCAAAGATATGCAATGTAAATACTAGCTGAAATATATATGTTAATGAGTGATGAATAGAGAGATGATTTGGTTTCAACCATAAATCAGAAAACATGGCCTAATGGCCTAATTCAAGACTATCTTGTTCATTTCAAACACTCTACCCTTCCCCAAAACCACAAGAAAAGTGCTTCAGTTGCAGAAACCAAAAAATGGCAGCCTGGTCAGATTAGAATGTCTTGGGCTAAGTAAGTCATCAAATGTTCATATGGATTTAATTATTGAATTTCCGATGATAAGAAATAGTCATCAATCGTCAAGACACTGCAGAGCCCATAATCCAGATATCTGACCTGTTTCACATGTGAAAATCTTTAGATGCAAGAGAATTCTAAAACTAAAAACAGAACTGTTTTTGTCAACAGGCTAGTTTGTGTTTAATTATTGATCCATCAAGCTAAATTACAAACAACGGCATAAATTTAACTAGCACAGCCTTTAATCTCGGAAAAAGTAGCAAAAGCTGTTGAGGCCAAGATGTTATAGCAAAAAAGGAAGAAAAACAAATTGATAGATCGAAGTTACTGACAAAAGTAGGGAGGAAAAAAACGAGCATCTCAAATCCTACAGGGTAAATAGGCTATACCTACTAATGTTATCTTGTCGCCCTTTTCCAATATTCTTTTCTCTTCTACACTGGTACTGCATTTGTCCATTCTTCTGCAAATGTTCTTTGACCACTTTCACGGTCTACAAATTCCACATTTTATATTCAATGTTAATGCAAGGATCAGGAGGAAGATGTGTCAAATTACTTCAATTCTGTGAACTAGTGGGTGAATATAATCATCATTCAATGTACCTGATGCTGCAGAAGCAGAGTACCTGGCTCATTTTCTTTCAATCCCTTAATTCAACAAGTGGAAGAACTTAATAAGAATATAATTCATTGACATGTTTTAGCTTCCGAAAAATAAAAAATTTGATGGAACCGACTTCAGAAATAGCCATTTTTTCTTTGGACATTTCAGAAGATGGTGAGAGGTGGATATGCATGCAAGCGAGCAGCAAAATATTATCAAACCCAAATCAAGAGCAGATTAAGGATGATTAAGGTGTGGATATTCCAAAAACATTTTAGATGGTTCATTTCAGGCTAAAGGTTGCTGAATAAATATTGGAAAAAGTAAGATGTATACCTTATTTAATAGCTCCTTTGCTGGTTCATTTGGAAGCCTCGTTGTGGCTGTTTTTTGGTTCATATTCTGAAGGACACCATTTGCACCTTTACTAGAAGTTACCTGAAAAGCCAATAAAGTGTTTCTGCATTCAATAATTACTTTTAATAAAATATCTGTAGAACAAGAATTGGTACATCCGAACAACCTTCTTATCAGGAGAACAAGCTTTAGATTTGTTAACAGCTTCATGTTTCTCCTCTAATGAATTGATAGACTTGAAGCTTTGCAAACAAAGGAAAAGAACATCAAGAGATTGAAGGAAAACAAAAGCTTCAAAGAGAAAAAACTGAGTCAAGCTAAAAGTCAAAGTAATATTACCTTCTGAGGCCTGTGTTTTCATTTCTTGAAGTTGACACATACATAGCTACTTTCATTGCCTGCAAAGAGGATTGTTAACTCTTAAGTCCCAAAAATTATAAAAAGTACTGAGTACTGACATGTAGAACCCAAATTGGGTTAAAACTTGAGAGAACACTTAAAAATAATACGAGAGCAGTATATAAATAAAATTATAAATAACCCACCGTATTATATGCATGCTGCTTGGCTCTCTCAGATGTCCTTAGATGAAACACCTAAAACAATGAAAAAAAAGTACATTCTATGTCACAAAATTATCCAGAAAAGGGTCATGCAGGATTTCTCAATAAAATGCCAATAAAGGCAACCATAAGAGGAGACAAAATAGTAAGTTCCTTTGGCTATCAAATACCTGAAACTCCGGTGGCTGAGGCAGGCTTTTCTTGGGAAGGGGAAATGAAGGTGCCTCAAGAATCTATCAAGTCCAAATAAAATATTGAGACTACACATTCAACATCAAAGATCCTAGAAACTTCTCCAAAAAATTATGTTCCAGAAAATTTCAAGTAAAATATTTTTTTAGATCTAAAAGTACTAACTTTTTTGTTTAAGGGGAGTGCTTTAAACAAATGAACATTTGATTTTGCATTTCCATCTGACTCTGCCTTATCTTTAGACCTGAAATTATCACCATTTGGTTATCAGCTTTTATGCAAAGTAAAAAAAAAAAAAAATCTCGGGGTGAATGATAGGAAATCAATTGCACCTATGTCTCTGAGCCCTTCTTGCTGTTTGTAGCTCTGGTTCTCTTGGTTGTGACTTTAGGTTTAATATGAATATTATCAAGAGATTGGACCTGGACAACAAACTCAGAGAGTTTAGAAAACTGATAATGTTAACTCAATCGTTATTACAGATTTATTGTCCCTGCAAACACATACACATGGTGATGGCATGTTTAAATAATCCCCGGGTAGTTAGCAAAAAAAGAAAAATACAATTGACATTAGTCTAACAAAAAAACACTTTCTTAATTCAACAACTTACTGTTTTCAGTTTCTTGTGCACAAACTTAGATTGATGCTTCAAATGTGCAGCCTGCTTTGCAAAAAATATAATTATTGAACATCCTCTTAGACCAAAATCCAATGGTTAGCAAACAAATTTCAGCTATATATGCAGTTTCAAATAAAATAAAAAACAATAGTGAAGTAACATGTAACACTAACAAAAAACCAAAGCAGAAACAAAGCTATATGTCATGATACATACAACTAAGAAGGAGGGGGACAACAATATCATCAACCAAATTACAGCTTGGGTTACAATATACTCTTGGCCATAACATATTCAAAGTGTATATTGCTTTCTTAGAATCCCTATCACTTAAAATCTGACCAGGCAGATTATTTCCATTTTCAACATCACATGGAAAATTATAGGAGGTAAACTCTAACATTCTCACAAGTGAATCATAATGATTGGTCTGGTTCCATAAACACAGACCATTTGAACCACAATACAGGTAAACAAGGTCCAATCTTATATGAGATAAACATAAGTGACAGCACCTTGCATAAGTAACCTTCTTCCAGCTTTTGTCTTTTGGTAGCATCATCTTCATTGCAGGAAGGACTCTTATTGAATCTGTCAGCAGGCTTTTGTAAGCTGTGTAGTAAAGGAACCAAGTTAAAACCTTTTAATTTATCATGACTACAATAGAGATTTTTTTTTTGGGTTGAAAATAACTACAATAGAGAATTAAACCTTGAATTTGAGGCCAAAATTCAAATTAAAGAAGATTTCTAACAACCAATGTCAGAGCATATAATGGTATCCAATAATAATAGAGTAATACCTTTTCTGAAATTGATTGGAAAGAACCATTCGAGATTGATTTTGCTTCGCCAAGTAACTTGCTGTAGGTTTCATCAACGTTGAACTCCTAGATAGAGATGCCTTGACCAGAGAATCAATTTTGGCCCCCAGATTACCTTCGTGGCACGGATCACATGCTTCTGATCCACAAATAAAACGAGGGATGGAAGAATATTAGTACATTGCATTTCTAGGCTCTCTTTTATTTATCATTGATTTTTTGGCAGATTATTAAAAAAGATCTTTTCTTCAAAAAGAAACCATATTAATAATCTCTACAAATTGACTCTGCAAAATCAAACAAAAGTTGCAAAGAAAAGCACCAATTATAAACTACCATCCTAATTAAACAAAAAACAGAAGAAGAAAAAATCATGAATACAGGAATATACCTCCATTATATTCATCACATTCTGTTGAGCAATTGTCATATTCTCCATCCTCATTTATATCACATTCACATCTCCATTTCAACTTTATTACCAAAGCTGAAAATTAAAACATATTAAAAGATTATCAGAAGAGTTACCAATAAAAACGATGTGATAGCGTAATGATTCGATCATAAAAAACAAAACACAAGAAAAGGCTTACGCGAAGACGGATAGCTTCCAGCTGATTCAAACCAGAGTTCGGCTTCTTTAACCTCCCAGTCAGTTTCTGGGCAACTGAAATCATAGCATTGCGGTGCATCAAACTCGTACTCGATATCAAAAAACTGTCCAACCTCAATCGATTCTTCGATGGAATAAAATTGCTCCTCTTCAGCGATTTCAGCAACCATTCTTTTTCTTTTCTGTGTGTGTGTGTGTGTTTCACCCAAATCTTCTCTGCAAAACCACGGAATTTAAGACACCCACAATTAATGGACAAATAAGAAAAAAGGAATACCCACAATTCAAACATTTCTTTTCATTTTTATTCGTGCAATATTTTCTTACATAATCTCGATATACTTTTATTTCCTTTAAAACCGGAGCTCGTTGATTTGTTTGTTTCCCAATAACCAACAAAGAAGAAATCGTCGTGAAATTGCGAAACCACTCTCTCTCTCTCTCTATCCGTCGAACTTGTTCCAAAAATTGAGAGAGAGAGCTGTTAAACTTTCAAAAATCCATTGGATTTGGCCTTTCCCCCTTCTGTGTCTAAAGTGAGAGCAAACTAGGAAGCAAGGAAAAGGAAAGAAGAGAAAGAAATGAACTGGATTGATGAATTGAATGGGTGAAACCATAATTTTGTAAGTGGAGGGAAGGGGTTGTTAGTTGGTACAATACAAAATTGCTTCGTAGTATAGAAGGGAACGGCGAGAGAACCGGCAGATGAACGAAAGAAAGCATGGAATGCGAGAAAAGTCAATAAGGCAAAATCAAACCGATGTCCATTTTATAGAAAAGCCAACGAAGCAAACAACCAAGGATAATTTATCCAAAACAAAAAGGATAGTGTTATATATTAAAATAAAATAAATAAAAGAAATGATTTATTCTAAGAACGGGCCAACTTAGCTAAAGTAATCCAGGATGGTGCTTCAGGCTCCTTAAGGTGGCCCAGGGTGTGCTGGTGGCGCCCAAGGTGGCCCACCATGGTACAAACATCATCTTGGCTGATCGACTTGTACTTGACCTCGATCGCGGACTGGCGATCCATGACATTCTCCCCTATTGGATCTAGAAACGTCCTCATCGTGTGACTAGAGTGGTACTGATCTATCTACCTCTTGAATTGTCAAATGCCATCTGCTTGTTGCGTCCCTCCATATAAACCGCTTGCCTCAACTCATGTTGCCAAATAACATCACAACCCCTGGCGTCATTGCATACAAAATGCATTAGCCATCCTTTTTCCATTGAGTCCGATGACTCTTTCTACAATGGCCTTTCTTCCATGAAGTTCAGTGCTCCTTCTACCTTGCCAGTTGGTGGTAGATTTGTGGGTTCTATGCCCCACACTGGCTTGGGTTCATTCAATCCTTCTTTGGTTGTGTCCCCAATGGTAGCCTTGGAAATGATGTTCATATACTTCGAAACATCTTCGACAAGCTAAATGGTTGCGAGCGTCTTGGTCTCTTTTCCTTATCTCAAACCAATGGCACATCAATTTACCGTTTTTGGATCCAAGATACACATGACATTTTGGGACGAAATGAAAAGAACATCAATGTGGTCAAGGAAACTTAAACCAATGACGTAATAAAATCATCCAGATATATTACATTGAAGTATTCGTTGGCGTTCCAACCACCAATCTCTAACTCTACCTTACGCACCACTCCAACTATTGGAACTCCCTCGGAATTAACAGTCTTGATCACACCTTTCACTGGCTTAACTTTGAGACCAATATTATCGATAACTTTCTTGGACATGAACAGGCAAGTTGCCTCAGTGTCCACTAGAGCACTCTTCAATTGTCCCACAGCGCTGATGTTTCCATACATCAACTCTTTCTGCTTTTGGCATCCATTCGCCTTGACAAAACTCTTTACCATGGTACCAAGCCCCACAGCCTCATCGATCGTAGGCTCGTCTTCCTTCTTGGGCAATTCGACTTGGTCTGAGCTATTTTATAACTCTCATGAACCCTTGCCTTGGTGGCTATTCGGTTGTTTCATCTTTCTTGTTGACTAGACGATATTGATCCTCGCAATTATGTCAAGTTTGTTTTCTCTTTCCTTAAATCGTCATCTTTATCGATGATGGCCATCAATTTGGCCTTCTTGGGCCAATCATTTACCACGTGCTCACCATTACAAAGATAACATTTGAATGGTTTGTCCTTCTTCTTCCACCATGGCCTTCTTTGCTTGTAAGTCCTTTTCTTTGATGACTTCTCATCGTCACTTGAAGACTTCTCGAATCCCTCCTTGGACAGCACATCACAGTCTCTCCCACCCTTACATTTAAATTTAGGCTTTGGTATGGAAGACTTGGTATTCTTGACTTTTAATTCTGATATGGATTTAGCCACGACCAGTGCTTTGGAGAGTTCTTGGATTCCTCTACTTTGTATCTCCATTTTGGCCCATCGTTGAAGTCCATCCATAAAAGCAAATTAGCCCTAATCTTCACTCATGTTTGGGATTTGGAGTTTGAGCTCGGTGAATTGTTTGACATACTCATGGGTTGAACGGTCAAGTTTAAGTTGTCACAACTTTGCTCGTGCCTCATGTTAAGTGTTCTTCGGGTAAAATTATTCTTTGAATTCGATTTGGAATTCTTTCCACGTCTTAATGGAAAGCTCCTTACTCTCTTCCTCATAACATATATGTTACCACCATAGAAGAGCGACATCAGTCAAATAAATAAAAGAAATATTTACCTTCTCGGTATCATCAATGATATCCATGGCTCGAAAGTACTAATTCATTCTCCAAATGGAGTTCTTTACATCTTGGGCAACCCTTATCCCCTTGAACTTATTCGGTCTAGGGATATCAATATGGGGTTTAGACGCCCTACCCCAGCTAGCACTATGTGCTTCACTGAGGCCTAGTAAATGAGTGGCTCGTTCTTGAGCTCTTTCACTTCCTCCACCATCTCAACTTTCATAGTGATTGTTTGCTTCCTCATGTGTTCTTTCATCTCTTCCTTCAAATCCATCATCGCAGCTTCAAGGGAATTGTCTCGTTGCTCCAACTTCTCAAATGCCTAGTTGAGAATCCTTGTACCTCGTACCTTACTCCGTCCTCCAAGGACTCTAACTTCACAAAACGTTGCTTCATCTCGTCCTAGGTCTCCTTAACTTCCTTCATGAAATTTTTAAGTTTGGCGACCCTCTTTTTTAAGGATACAACGACATCCTTAGAATTCGTTCGCTTCTTATCGGTAGTCCGGTTCCCATCCCCTCAACTGTTGAGATCTCACCTTGTTGTTGTGGGGCCATCTCTCTCCTTCGAAACATGATCTGATACCACTTGTCACGGGACTAAAGTATCGACTAGTTAATCTGTGCAGCCTTAGACGATTTCTGAAAGAAATGTCGCTTAAGTCAGCCTGAACAACTTAAGTGAAAAGACTTAGATCAAAATGTGGAAGCAACAACAACTTCGAGAGGAAATAACTCACGACAAAAATAATAGATTTGAGAGAATGCTTAACTTTATTCCTTAAAACTGAAATGAAAAATAAGATGGGTGCTATGCCATCATAACATACTTTTATAAAATTTGATATGTATTAGTCAGTCAATAGATCATATATCATTGATTAATTAAAAATGTTTAATATAAAAAGGTGCCAAAATTATACCCTTTTTCTCATTTAGGCCCCTGAATGTTTTTTCATTCAATTTAGTTGTCTAAAGTTACAGATGTTATCATTTTAAGTTTTTCGAATGTAATGACCGTTAAAAAAGTCTGTTAAGTGACACATGTTATGTTTAGAAGATTTTGAAAATTTTATTTAAAATAAAAAAAAAATTATTTATTAAAAACCCCAAAATTTTTGAAAATTATAAAAAATACCCAAAACTTTAAAAACATTAATTCTAATCCATATACCTAAAACACCCTTAACTCTTCTTCCCGCCATTCTTCTTCTAGGAAATCAGTTCTTTCCCCATGTCTATGTTTCGTCTTATTCAAAATAGGGTAAGCCAACTTTTCGAGCCAAGGACTCCTCAGAAGAAGATAAGAAAACAAAAACAAGTCCAGGCTTAAACCAACATCGGTTGTCGGCGAACCAAAACGTGGTGTTGTTTTCAAAAGTATGTGCAAAGCTAGAGTTTTTGCAAACTAGAAGGTCGGGTTTATCAGGTTTTGGGTCATCAAATGGAGGTTCGATCAACTGCAACGGTTGCAAGAACGATGGTCGACGTGGGCATGAAGATTGAAAGAAAAAAATTTCATTTGAATCCAGAGAGATGACGACTTTAAATCTAATAATGAGAAAATAAAATGTGCTACGAGAGAAGATAAAGAAAACGTTATAAGATGGATAAAATCATCTATTTTTTTTATAAGAAAAGGGTAAGATTAATTAAATAAAAAATAATATAATTAAATTATACGGGATGAAAGGGAAGAAAAGAAAAATGAAAAAGATAAAAAAAATTAACAGTTGATCAATTCAAGACTAATATTATCGTTAGTGGTGAAAAGTTATATATATATAAAAGAGCAACGCAAGAAAAAGAAAGAAAGAGAAATAACAACGAGGATTAATTAATTAAATTTAAATCAAGCCAAAATATAAATAAAATTTTTGAAGGTGAATAAAAAATCATATTTATTTTTATTAGATAAATGAGTTCAAACAGTTTATGTTTTATTTCAATCATATTTAAAATCCATAGAGAAAGGTCTATAAATACAAATATGTAACCCAAATATTTTACGAAGTTATCCCTATTTCTAATATATTACCTTCAATATTTTTATTTTTGGCTTAAATATATGAAATATAATTGGAAATTTCATTTTTTTTTAATTTTCAAAGTCCAATAGTTTTGGAATTATTTTATGAAAAGTTCAAAGACTCTTAATCATTTGATAATAAACACTTATACCTCTAACATATGCGGCGGTCGAACTCGATACTTCAAAAGATAACAATAAATTATAAATATATTTTTTAAATATTATCTCAATTAGGGTTGTAAATGAGACGAGACAGATCGTGAGCTACTCGATATCGACTCAATAAAGGCTCGATAAATACTCGGATCGAATGGACTCAACTCGAGTTCTTAACGAGCCGAAACGAGCTACTTAATATTCGACTCGAAAATCTCGTGAGCAGCTCGAAAATATAATGTATTAAGATTTTATTTTTTTAAAAATAAATCATTAATAATATTAATATTTATGTATTGATTTTTTTTAAATACAATAGGATTTTCATGTATTACTTCAGCACAATTTTTTCATCAACAAAATAAAATCAAAAAGAATTTTAACTATATAAATCAAATTTAAGTAAATAATTTAAACTTACTAATCTTCCCATGAAATTAAAGAGAACATATTTGTTATACAAACTTGGATAAATTACGTATTTAGTCACCCACTTATTACTGCAGTTCTGTGCTGATTACCAAACTATTTTTTCAAATCATATCTTATGTTATGATTGGTTCTATTTTGGTCACTCGTTATTAAAAAATTAATGGTAATACCTACAATTCATTATAAGGTAATTTCATGACATCATTGAAAAAAATGATAAAAAAACATTATCACATTAGTGGTTCTGTTTATTTTTTAATGACAGGTGACCAAAACAAAAATAAAATGTAACGTTAAGTATGATTTTAAGAAAATAATTGACTAGTGACCAAAACGGAATAATAAGAATAGGTGGATGACTAAATATGTAGTTTAGCCTAAAAACTTTAGTAACAGATCAGCGCTATCCAATGGTTTTTTTTTCCCATAAACGCCAACGCAGTCATTGACCTCAAACCTCAATTCGCGCGTCTTTGTGGGCACGCCTTTCATTTTATTCTCTAAATCAAAAAAATTTGTTTCTATGAAACAAACACAAATCTTCTGAGAGGGAATAACTGTTCCTCTTAATCTCTTTTTCTTCAGGTTTGTCTTCAACTCTGCACTTCTCTTTCCCGTCAATTTCTTTTTAAGTTTGGCTCACGAGAAAATGTGAGATAAAAATCGAGACGAGAGCTTAAAGCTTTTTTTTTTATAGGAATTGAAGGCCTCATTAAAAACCTCCTTCTTGATTAAAGGGGCTTATAGAGAGCTTAAAGCTTTTATCTCCTGTTCTTCAATTTTCGTGAAAATGGAGAATTCCTATATTTTCTAATGATATTGTAATTGTTCATTGTCAATTAATTGGTGATCAGTAATTTAAATTTTTACATTTAATCATGATTTAGTGTATAGAGAGGTGAACAAGGTCGTTAAAATTGGTTCATTAATCTTCACGTGAAAAGCTAGGTCAATAGCTTTGGAGGTTGGAATTGATTGACTTACGACAAAGTTTAGAAACGAAAAAAAACCCGAAAACTAGACGAGACCTTAATGTTTATATCCCCCTGTTTCACTTTTCGTGAAAACTGAGGCTAATTCTTGTATTTTTTGTTATTATAGTGTTACTGTTAATCTTGAATAATTTTTTGGTGATTGATAACTTAAAGTATTAGAATGAAGTCATGTTTTTTGTGTTATTGAATGGTAAACAAGGTTGTTAAACACTTTGGAATTAGGTTATCTTATTGTCATGGATCAAATATCAGTTTTCCCCTTTTCCTTGCATTTTCATCCGAAGATGTCATTTGTAATCAATTCTTAGTTTAAATTTCATTTTAATTTAAGTTAGAAAACTATGGAAATCCAGAATGCTGTATATATTATATAAGATAGTAAAAAAATTACTGTCTTAGGACAACCACTACATCGAATTTGGATGTAGCTGCTACAGATTCTTTAATTTCAACTTATAATACTCCATAAAAAGGTTTCTTCATGTTAGAAATTTAGAGTTGGGATAAAAATAATTAGCGATGTTAATGTTACAATGCAAGCTTAAAGCCTGTGCTTATATACTTTCTGTCACTTTTTGTTTTTGCAGTTTCATTGTTCTTGCTTGTCATTCTTCCTGCTAAAATTTATCTGAACGGCCATTTTATACCATCTGAAATTTCATATCTGCTTTTTTTATTCTCCTAGCTTGCTCTAGGTGCATAATTTGGGATCATTTCTGATATGAAGATATTGGTTTTGTCAGGAATTAATGAATTATTTTCATGTCTACTCCGCGAATTGGTCCACTTGTTCAATTAGAAACAACTTGTACAACCCTTCTAGGTGAACTTCAGGTATTGTGGAACATTCCACACAGAAGATACCTTAAATCTTTTATTTTTGTCTCTTGGAAAGATAATTCCCAGTTCAAATATGCCTCTTCCCTGTTTATATTCTAAAAATTTGAACATTAATCTAATATTTACAATTTAATGGTTCCTTGAAAAACAACATTAGATCATTTGGGATGAAATCGGGGAGACAGATGCTGACAGAGATGAAATGCTGCTTGAGCTTGAACGAGAGTATGTGGAAGTTTACAGAAGAAAGGTAGATCACGCAAAGCTCTCTAAAGCTAATATGAGGCAGACAATTGCTGATAATGAAGCTGAACTAGCTGCTATCTGTTCAGCAATGGGGGAGAGGCCAGTGCATGTTAGGCAGGTCAGGAATGAAAGAACAATAAATTCTGGATGAAAAGATTCCTATTAGATTCAACTATTTACTTATGGTTCAAACATTTTCAGTCGGATCTAAAAGTTGGAAACTTGAAGGAAAAGCTCGGGAAAATTCTTCTGCAGGTGGAGGAGATGAAGAAAAGGAAGATAGAAAGAATAAATCATTTCATAGACGTCCTGGACCAAATACAAATGATAAGAAATGAGATAAGTGGATCCACGGAATCAGTTTCCTCAGAAACACTTGTAGATGAAACTGACTTGTCCTTGTTGAAGCTTGAAGAATTGCACAGACAGCTCCATGAACTTCAGAAAGCGAAGGTCAGATTTCTTAATTTTTCAATTCTTTATTGTTTCCACCTCATGAAGGCTCTTAGTTATCTTTTGCTTGCTGACTCATCTCTCTCTTCTGCAGAGTAATCGTCTGAAGCAGGTTAAGGACCTCCTTAACATGTTGAACTCCCTCTGCTCAGTGATGGGTATGGATTTCAAGCTCATAGTTACCGAGGTCCATCCTAGTTTAGGTGACTTTGAAGGATTGAGGAGTATTAGCAATAATACGATTGAGCTGTTAGGTACAACAATAAATAGCTTGCGGGAAGTTAAGATACAGAGGATGGAAAGGGTAAAAATGAATTTTAGTATTTTGCGTTCTGCAAAATCATTGGCCTCTCCTTTCTCTCTGATTATAATAGTGATTCTTTGATACTTTAAAGCTGCAAGATCTTGCAACTACCATGTTGGAGTTGTGGAATCTGATGGATACACCGATTGAGGAGCAACAGAAATTTCAGAATGTTACACGTAACGTAGCTGCTTCAGAAGATGAAATTACTGAAACCAACACTCTCTCTGAGGATTTTATCAACAATGTAAGCAATACATGTTTAAAGGGGCCGGTTTAGCTGATCTTCTCTTGGTTCTATAAATGTAAGTGCTTTACTCTGGACTAATAGAGAAATAAATATGTTATACTGTGTAGGTTGATGCAGAAGTTTCTCGGTTGGAAGAGTTAAAGTCCAGCAAAATGAAAGAGCTTGTCCTCAAGAAGAGATCAGAGCTAAAGGATCTCTGTAGGAAGACACACCTGGTTCCGGACACTGAATTAGAAGATGTCATTGAAGCTATTGAGCCTGGTACATGCTAATGATATATCATTTTCATCAGACCATTTATTATGTCAAATTTTTTTCTCCCCTTTTTCTAGTCAGTGTCATTCTTACTTTATATCTTTAGGAGTTGTTGATGCTGCAACCAATCTAGAACAAATTGAACTTTGTATTGCTAAGGTTAAAGAGGAAGCTTTTAGCAGAAAAGAAATACTTGAAAAGGTCAGTAAATGGTTGGCGGCATGTGAGGAGGAGTGTTGGCTTGAGGAATATAACAGGGTGAGCATTTTTGTAATCTCTTCTGAATTTTTTTCTTTTGGTCCTAGGATGGTAACCTTGCTTCATTGTATGTTATTTTACAGGACGAAAACCGATATAATTTTGGAAAAGGAACTCATATTTCACTCAAGCGTGCTGAGAAGGCTCGTGCCTTAGTTAATAAACTTCCAGGTACATTTGTCACAAAACTAAACGTAGATTTGTAATTACCATTTCACACCATGCTGCCCAAATTTTGAAATTTCTTCCATTGAATTTCTATTTTCTACCTGTTTTGAGTAGGATTAGTTAACATGGTGTTGAAACTGTTCTATTTCAATTAATACAGGAATGACTGAGGCATTGACTTCAAAGACCATGGCTTGGGAAGAGGAGAGAGAGACTGCATTTTTGTATGATGGTGTGCGTACTCTAATAACTTACCCCCTTTGATATTCATGTTACATATTTGCTAACACTTTAAGTATCCAACTGTAGACCTAATGATATTAGACGGCAGTGAAGAAATACAAGCATGATTCAGTTAATATATCAAAATCTATATGACATAAATTATTATCACGTCAAAATTTATATAAATATGAAATGCAAGTATGACACGAAAACAATAATCAAATTGCAAGGTCAGTCCAACTGACCAATTCTACACTATCCAGATTTCTCTCCTTTCTATGCTCGAAAATTACGCTACTTTGCGAGAGGAGATAGAGAAACAACGGCATAAGTTGCGGGTAAGATAACTAAACTCATTTCCCAATCACACTGCATACGTCAATATTGTTTCGCCAATTTATGAAACTAGGCTATATGTAATTATGTGGCAATTTCCTTGTTGAAGCTGATCTTAATAGTCATTTTTTGTTGATCAGGACCAGAAGAAACTTCAGGGACAGATAATAGTGGAGCCAGGGGTACTTCATCTTTCAAAACTAAGCCTATCAAAGCCGCAGAGTGCAAAAAAGTGTTCCAAGCAGTATAGCTTTAAAAGAACCGCCCTGGGACCAAGGACTCCTCAAATACGTTCTAACAAGAAAACTGAGCTTATGTTTCAAAATGACTGTTTAAATCATCGGCAGGATGATGCCATTCCAGCTTTCCCAGCTTGTAAGTTCTCTATCCATCCTTGTTACAATCAGAACTTCTCAGTTAGACTTGCCAATCCGTGTATTCATGTTGTATCCGTGTTTAAGATTAGTCAGAATCTTAACTTTCCCTGACACCAGAAGAATTTTATCTACCCAAAACTGATTTATAGATTTATTTCTCGGTTTAACTTTGTAGCTGCTCAGGAAGGCTACATATTGTTGTAAAAATTTATCACATTAATAATTTGTGTTATATATATATATATATATTGATATGTTTGTATATTTGTACCGTATTTTATAATTAACAGTTCTAATCTCAACTGCTTCATACGGTAACCAACCATCAAAATTTGTACTTACTGCTAAAGCACCTTTGATTCTTGCTGGATGAGCCAAAATGTATGAAACCTTACACTTTCTCTATTTGCAGTTAAAAGAGGCCTGGGAACTGCCGACACTCCCTTTCGAAAGCACTCGTCAAATGCTGTAATTGCTAATGAAGTAGAGTCGCCACTGGTTCATAAGCCATTCTCGCCCATCTATCCATCATCAAAAGCCAATATGACAAACAAGCTAGAAGATAACGGTGAAGGTAAAACTTTACAGAAAACGGTCCCTACCAATGATCTGTCCAACACCCCGACTTGCTTGAAGATAAATTCTTCGGTCTACGAAGAAAACCGGATGCCGAGGGCAATGCATTCAATGGCAACAACCCGATGCAGACAGACACGACACAAGCTCCAACAACACAAACTCCGGAGAACAATGATACGAAGCCAGTCGAAGGAAATCATGAAGAGAACGAGGAGTCGATTGAAGTAAACAAGGCTTGCTTGTATCCGCTCAGATAAACAGATAACATTGATGATACAAGTATGATCATCTTCAAAACCTTATTATAACTTGAAACTGAATCAAAATTGAGTTAATTTTTTTATTCTTTATTTTATTCTCATGTTTATAATTTTGGCTGTTGTGCTGTGAATTGCGAGGTTGTAAAATCCCAGTTTTTCCGTCATGAAGTTCAACAGCATAATCCAGAATTATAAAATGTAAATCTGCTGTTAATGTACATTAAGTTATTATTTTCTTTCCTTTTTGTACCCATTTTTATATTAATTTGCTTCTTACATTTCGTTTTTTTTCTGCCTTCCCTGCTCTTTTGTTTAGTTAAATTTAACCATAATTCATCTTATTAAAAATTTATTTTCATAATTTTATAATCCTCGAACTTCCTTATGTAGACGATAAATTTAAGACTTTAAAATGTTATTATTTTTAAATGATTTATAATTATTTTATTTGAAAAATAATTATTTTAGAGAACTTTTTATTATTAGAATGTTGAGTTTAAAAATAATTTTGTTAACAATAAATATAAAAAATACGTAGGATATCATTAAAATATATTCTGAGAAAAAATTAAAAATATATATAATAATTTTCATAGTAGAAAAATACTTGTTAAAATTAAATAAAACCAATAATTTAATTTTAGTAATATAAAATTCACTCTAAAATCAATCATAAAATTAGGACTAAATTAAATTAAAATTAAGACTAAATTGATAGAATATGTAAGTATTAAGGACCAAATGTATAATTATTCCAATTTTATTAAATGACACATCACCATCTCCGTTAGAAGTTAGCGGCCAGTGATTTGATTGAACCATTTAAATAGTTGGGTGGTCTGATTGATTAAATCAAAACATCGGTGGTAAAAATGAAATCGGACAATAGTTAAATAGTCACTCGTATAATTTACCCTATAATATAAAAAGAAGAATAAAACATACACTATTTTATTATTTATCACATTGATAAAAAGTAGGTAATAACAAAAATAAATTATTCGTTCACTTCAATTTAATTATCAGATTAAAATAGAGTTAATATTCAGTCCGAATCAGATTTAGATAAATTAAATTCAAGTTAATTTTAGTTCGAGTATTTGTGCTTCTCCATTTTCTTGTTTTGGTTTTGCTCTCTGTGTCTTGGTGGTGTCATTTCTTGAGTTGCGTTATTGCTTGGATGAGAGCTTGGATTGCAACAGGGATCAGTGCTCGTGTGTTGGTTGGGTCTCTGCCTCCAAACTCTATTTTGCAGGGCTCGCATGTTGGATTTCTTCCCTCTAAGGTGTTATCCTTTTCGTGGTTTTACCTTTGCTCAGCCAATGCTGCTGGTAACCTTTGTTTAAAAAATAGGTAGGGTAGTAGGCTGCCCCAACGCTAGGTTGAGAGTAACTTCCGTAGAAAACCTCCGACACTTATGAATTGCCTCCCGTGGGACTCGATCCCAAGACCACAAGGTGCTGGTAACCTTTGTTTGCGTCTCTTTAAAGATAGTTGCTGGCCTTTATATTTCACTGCTGTGCATGCATCATGGATGGTTTTAGTTCTGATTTTCTTGAGTCTTAGAACGTTTCTTTGCTTGTGGTAACGGTTTTAATCGATTCGCTGCTGGTGCGATTGGTTGAGTATCGATTACATTTTGTTTTGTGCAACGTTTTGCGGCTCGTTTGTAATGGCTCTCGATCGATGTAATTTTGGCCTGGACACTCTTTTTCCTCCATTTAAATTTTAGGAACGAGGTTCATTCCAAAATTATTATTCTTGTATGTTCCTTCTGCTATTAATAACATACAAGAATCTTCTTTAAAAAAAAACTAAACTTTGAATCAGTTTCCATTTAGTGTGATTTGTTTTGAATTTTAGATCAAATTTAAGTAATCACGTTTGGGTTGAGACCCAATCTGGAATCAAGTAAATTATTTTAGATAATCAAATTCTTTCAAATTGCAGTGTAATAAAAGCCAACTTACAAAGTTCATATATCAATTTGGACGGATTAAGGCTTTCAGATTGTAGCATAAAGTGATAGAAGGCCCAAATATAAACCCTAAACACAAGACACATTATAAAAGTGATAAGAGGCTACGACTTATTATTAGGGTCCGTTTGTTTCACTGAAAATAGTTTTCAGAAAATGAACTATATTTTCAGAAAACATTTTTTAGAAAACATTTTACATTGTTTGGATGTTGCATTGTAAAATGTTTTATACTGTTTTGTTAGTTTTTCTGAAAACAATTTACGAAATCTGTTTTTTTAGTAAAAATGTATATATTTTTTATATTTTTCTTGTTATTTTCCTTTTAAAATTTTTTAAGTTATTTTTATAAAATTGTATTTTATAAAATTTTGAAATTAAATGTTTTATTTCTATAAGTACACCAAATTAAATTTGTAGATAATATAATAATTTATGTTGATTGTGTTATAAATACACAATTTTAGGTTTGAAGTATTCATGATACTTTATTTATTAGCATTTTCAAAATTAAATTTTAACTTATAATTAATATTATATGTAGGTTTAATTGATATAATCTTGATAATGTATTAAAAATATATTATCAAAGTAAATAATTAAAATTACATCATTATTAAAACAACAATAGTAGTACATCATTATTAAAAAATTGAGTTTACTTAATAGGAAGGAAATATAGGAAGAAAGAAGGTAAGAGATCATCATTTTCTATTCTAATGTATTAAAATAAGAGAAAATAATCTCAGTGACCGAAAATACCTTATAACATACAATTTTAACTAACTTTTTTTGGATTTGCCAAAATGACCAACAAATTCGCAACGCGATCTCAAATTCGCAACCCAGGTTCCAAATTCGTAAAGCGAAAGTCAAATTCGCAACACAGAAGTCAAATTCGCAACGCGAAAGTCAAATTCGTAACGCAAAAGTTAAATTCGCAACGCGAAAGTTAAATTCGCAACGCGATACTCCAAAATAGCAATGCATTTGTTTCTTAAGAATTTTCTCTAAAAATATAGTATCCGTGCGGACGTGTCGAAGACACGTATTACCACGACCACGACCACGACGAGATAGACGGCGACGGCGGTGCGCGAGAGTCCCCCTTATTCTCTTTCACTCAATAAGAAAGTGGGAATTCAAGCCTTAAATACCCATTCCCAATAGTGTTTCCAATACTATGTGGGATTGAGTATTACCAACACTTGTTTCCAATGCTAAGTTGAAATATTTAACATTTAACATTTGAAAGTTGGAACACATTTAACCAAGTGAACATCCTTTCGGTGGCCAAGATAATTAAGTTGGAACACATTTAATCAATGCTTGAGAAGGCAATGTACTTGGCGAAAATTGAGTTAAGAAACAAATGCATTGCGATTTTGGACTATCGCGTTGCGAATTTCGACTTTCGCGTTGCGAATTTGAATTCTCGTTGCGAATTTGAGATCGCGTTGCGAATTTGTTGGTCATTTTGACAAATCCAAAAAAAATTGGTTAAAATCGTATATTATAAGACATTTTCGGTCACTGAGATTATTTTCTCTTAAAATAATTCATTTGAAGTGTTTAGACAAGAGAAAAATGAAGAAGTTGAAAGTAAAATTTACATTTCATAATGTTCATGTCACAATTGAACTTCCACGGTTACATTATTTATTCTTCAAATATCGAAACCCATGCTTCACTCCTTAGTATTGTAGCACACTAAATACACAATGGGCCGAAAATTGAGGATCTACTTATACGAAAGCTTCCATACCTCCCGTAAATTAGAGGATGCTGTGGCTGGTTGAGACTTCTCCAAAAGAGTTGCATTTACATTTGGGATGGTGAGACACCGGAGTACCACAATATTGAAGTCCTGAAAATGCACTTCAGCTGCACCCTGAAGATAGATAAAAATGATGATGAAACTTTACCAAATACTCCCATCACAACATAGTTTGGTCAAGTATGCATGAATTTACTATGAGACAAGAAAATATCCCAGGAAGTCAGTGGCCACATCCAAGCTGAAAACAATTAGATGAAACTCAGCAAACAAAACAGGCCAAGATATTAATGACATCTATCTAGATCTATATTCACAAATTCAATATTTCAAGTCATCATTATTAGAAGTCAAATCTAACAACGACAGTTTCTTCAAGTCAAATTGTCCGGGTGATAAGAACCTAACCAGAAACCAAAGCTGAATACTACGTATGCTAGAAATATTAGAACGTTAATAATGTATTACAAAAATTCGTATGCCACTCTAGTAATATGTAAGTACATTTTCCACATTCAAGCCAGAGGGACCTGAAAAAAAAAAACAGCTATAAAGCATAAGCTACACTGATTTATGTAGAAAATCATCACACACAAAACCAGTACGAAATAAAATTTCCCCTGAACAACATATGGGTGTTGGCCAGTGTCCACGGTAACACATAAGTCAACTAATCGAGCTATTAGTGTGTCAAAAAAAGGTTGGAAGTAAAAACCAATGACTTTGTGCAGGCATGAATTATCGTTCCACTTTGTTTTTTTTAAGAATATTAGTAAACACATAGCAACATGGCATTTCACTAGGATCTCTAATAATAACACAAACAATCTATCAAGTCAGTGAGGATGACAATCAAGATTCCAGAAGTGAAGCCAATATCTTGGAGTGCCATTTTTGAGCCATATACAATCAATTAGAATTAGGAACCCACCTCTAACACTCTTTCCCCTCAAGTGATAGATGGTCATTTTGAATCTCGGATTGCAGAGCTTTAACAATATATCATCACCATGTGTTCGTTATTTGAAAAGATGCTCAAAATGCATTCATCAGAACAAGAAAATCAATATGAGAGCAAAAAAATGAAGTATGGTAAAAAGATAAAAGAGGAACATCATTACAAACCTTCATAGATTCCAGGGACTAAATCAGAGTTATGCAATCCAAGAACCTCATCAATACTCACCCTTCCCTAAAGAATGGAAGACTTAGAGTTTAGCATTTTCGAATTTATAAAGATAATATCAATCTACAAGAGAACTTTGATAAATTTAATGGATTCTTATTCATTTCTAAAACTACTTCAATACAAGCTTCATTCTTGTTCTCTTTAATAAAAAAAGGTTCAAAGGTTCAAAGGTTCACCTTGAGTAAGTAAGGCCGCCTAAATTGACAGGCTCCACAGTGTAATTCACAGAAGAAGAAATCTACTTCAAATACAAAATCAACAAATCAAAAAAAAATTTACTCAAAAATCAAGGTTAAAAGTTTAGAAATAGGAACCTCCGAGGAGAGGACTTCGATGGAGGGAGGAGGAGGTTGCAGCCTCCGATGACTCCAAAACCCTAAACCCAAACTAGGTTTACCATCAACAGATGAAAACAATTGAAGTTATTAGGAATAACTCTGATTTGCAAGGAAAAACATAAACAATAAATCGAGGTTACAGATCTATCTCAAAGAAGAAGAACCGAGAAGATGAAAAGAGAGATTTACCTGATAAGATGACCGTACGCCTGAGTCAGTTTCGCCAGTGAGAAAGAGGCCACGGGATCGCGACTGATTTTGGGTGTGGAGAGAGGTAAGGGAAAATATGAAGGAGCGTCTGGAAAATGATTTACCCTTTTTCAAAGGGTAAGTTGTTTTACGGAGTTTGGGGCTGATTTTTACGTTGACCGTAAAATAATTTACGTTGACTCCATGTACCTAACAATACCGGGAAACAGAGAAGCCTCACTACCGCCGCTGCCGCCATGGGTCGTATGCACAGTCGCAGGTATCTTTCTCCTCCTCCTCATCTATTCCTTTTTCTGTGTATATATATACACTTCTGTTGTTTACATTGTTTAACATTTTTCCTTTTGTTGCAATAAGGGAATTTCCGCCTCAGCTCTGCCTTATAAGAGATCCCACCAAGCTGGCTCAAGGTCTCTTCTCAATACGTTAGTAATCTAAGCTCTTTTTCAGATTCCTTTCTGATAGAAGTGCCCTTGATTTTTTTTCTTCTTATGATTGAACGATAATGTGTTCGGGTCGAGGAAAACATTTGCAAGTTCGCAAAGAAGGGCTTGACCCCATCTCGGATTGGTGTCGTTCTTCGTGATTCTCATGGTATTGTTCAGGTTAAGAGCGTCACTGGTAGCAACATCTTGCGTATCCTCAAGGCCTACGATATCATTTTCTTCTTTCATTTCATCTTATGGTTTCATCAATTTTGGTTTTCTTATATTAGTATGATTAACCTAATGTATCCATAGGTCTCGACCCTGAAATTTCTCTAGGATTTGTATCACCTCATCAAGAAGGTTGTTGCCATCCACAAGCATTTGGAGAGGAACAGGAAGGACAAGGATTCCAAGTTCAGGTTGATCCTTGTTGAGAGCAGGATTCACAGACTTGCAAAACAAAGAAGTTTCCTCCTGTCTGGTAATAGTAAGTTTGCATTTTAATGTTGGATATAGTGATTTCATCATGAGGTTTTGTTTGTGAGGAGTTAAAATACGACTAAAAAATGACGTGATTGGTTAAATAGTTGATCGGTTAAAAGTATTACCGTAAATGTTATATGTTTTTACCAGAAATATTATTTGTGTTGGTAATAATAATGGTAATAACTGATAATATAATTGTTGTATGTAATTTTTTTGACTTAAACATAACCGGTTAATTACTGGAAATATTATCAACCATAATAACATAACAAGTAGCGTTTATTTAACGTAATAGATAGAGACTTTTTTAAAGTTGATTAGGTCTTAGAAATCCAACGATAACAAAATATGTTAATTACTTAATTTGTTATCAATATTATCAATATATTAGGTAACACATAAAATGTTTCCAAAGTTTAAGCTGATAGAGCCTTAGAACGATAACAAAATAAGTTAATTACTAGAAACATTATCAACTACAATAACATAACAAGTAGCGCTTATTTAATTTAATAGGTAGCGCTTGCTTAAAGTTGATGTGGTTTTAGAAATCTGATGATAACAAAATATGTTAATTACTTAATTTATTTTCAATATTATCAACATATTAACGTGTACATTTTTAATTTACATATTACTTTAAAGTAATAGACTTTGAAATTATAAGTATTGATACTTATATGATTGTATCGATACTTGTACATTTACGCCTATTTTTATTATACCAGTAGAAACGTTTACCATGTACATTGTTAATTTACCTATTACTTTAAAGTAATAATTTTCGAAATTATATGTATAATACTTGGACATTTACGCCGTACATTGTTAATGATGTGTATGGATAAAAAATATACACACAATATAACTAAACCAAACATACAAAACAATATTATACATAATAATCATGTCATCAATAAATAAATTAAACATGTTCTAATTGTCTACCCATAAAGAAATTAAACCGAAGAAAAATGTTATTTCTTAAAAAGTCCGGAACATTAGACATCTTCGCCAAATTTTTCAAATACTCGCGAATTTTTCGCCTTTTTCTAAGGGCATATATAAATAATTGAAATTAACAAACTAAACATGTTAATAATGTAATAATAAACCAATTGCGTATAAGTGGGCATAAATTTGTGTCATACCTAAAGCATTGTTGTTCAAAGATAAACTGTCAAAGAGATGTGGACAAATGTAACTATATTGTTATATAAATACATAAATTGTGAATGAACAAATTTATCAACATATAGCTTAACAGAAAGAACATATGGCAAACATATAACTTACTGGATTATACATAATTATTTTTGCTGAATCATACACCAATACTGTATTTACTGGGTTGTATTCAGTATACGCATTCCAAACATCTTGCAGATCTTTACAATATGTTACTTATTTTTTTGCACTTTCCTTAATCTTGTTTATAGAAATAGTTAAACATAAATTTATAGTAATCATAAACAAATAAAAGTAAGCTACACAAAAAACATGCATCTTACCCAAATGAATATAAATTGGTCAGACAATAAAGGTAGTTTATCAAGTGCACAATCAATGTTAATGCCTGAAATTGTTAACAATTACCACGAGAAACATCCAATTATAAATTATCCATATATCTATAGTAATTCAATATCTTAAATGTGTTTACCTCAACTTCGAAGATCAAATGGCAACAACAAAGTTTTTTAAACAAAAGTGAAGAAATCCATATACATCTAGTCTAAGTATAATATCTAGAACATGAACAAAATTACATTTAAATAATACGTTTATAGGTTAAAATAATGTATAGAAATGAAACAATTTTAAAACTTTTGGTATTTTTTGAAAAGTAGGCAAGGACTCTATTGGTATTATAAAAAATGACAAGTTTTCTTGCCGATGGTGTTGTAGACACCATAAATTTTTTTGGTACTTCATCTTCATCATCTGTAATGTCATCCTATTCATTCAACATTTGATTTTTCACCGCCTTCTCCACCACTGTTATTAGAAAAGTAAATACATTTTAAAACATATAAATATTTAGAACATAAAACATGAAATACCTAACTCGTATGATGTCGTTGAAGGAATTCGTTACACAAGTTGGAGACTTCATAACGTAATGATGAAATATCAGCACACATTTCCCTAATTTGGTCATTAATGTTCCTCACACGAGAATCAAAATGTTCACAGAAATTAACTATGTATTCCATCACTGACTTCATTGTAATATCCTCTTCAGCCCTAGTCTCTTCTATCGGAGCGTTTTTCATCGGTTGTTGGTCATCATTGTCAATAGGGTCCAATTGCTCTTTCTCTTGTTTTGCTCTAATGCCATCTTTTTTAGTCCAACCGACATTTTCAATAAATCTGTATATGGCTTTAGTCATGGATAACATGTCAAACAATCCGTTATAAGTATTTTTTTTTATCCATTCACATAATGCATTATTTTCAATTTTAATGTACTCAAACATATCAAACAATAATTGTATATCAAATATTTTAATATTCCTATCCATAATACAACATATGACTTACACAGTAAAGATTTCATTCTAATGGGGCACTGTAAAAAGTCCATTATAAGATGTGACTTTCTTGACTCTTCTTTCATTTGCATGTACATTATCAATTTACCTATTACTTTAAAGTAATAGGTTTCAAAATTACAAGTATCAATACTTTATATATGTGTATCCATACATTTTGTGTGCAAATTGTTTAAGAAGCATTCTGGAATAAAAGTATCGATACTTGGTATTTGCGTATATTATCAATCTACTGGATTGAATCCATTTCATCTAGCTCATGAAGCTAGAATAATCGTAAACCGAAAACGTCTAAGAGAAACATACCTGAAGGAGACTGATTATTTGCTTGCGTAAATAATAAGTATCGATACTTTTATATAGGTATGGAAACTTTTATTTCAGTATGCTTCTCAAACAATTTGTACGCAAAACGTATCGATACACATATATAAAGTATCGATACTTGGAATTTTGAAACTTATTACTTTAAAGTAATATGTTAATTAACAATGTAAATGGTAAAAGTCTACCGATATATTGATAATAGGCGTAAATACAATGTATCGATACTTTTATATAGATATATATACTTTTATTCCAGTATGATTCTCAAACAATTTGCATGCAAAATGTATCGATACACACATATAAAATATCGATACTTATAATTTCAAAACACATTACTTTAAAATAATAGGTAAATTAACATTGTACATGGTAAACTTTTACCAGTATAATGAAAATAGGCGTAAAATGTCCAAGTATCGATACTCATATACAAAGTATCGATACTTATAATTTCGAAACCTATTACTTTAAAGTAATATGTAAATTAACAATGTAAACGATAAAAGTTTCTACCAGTATAATGAAAATAGGCATAAATGTACAAGTATCAATATTGTCATATAAGTATATGTTAGAGTATGCCCAAAGACCAATCATATGATAATTGTAATAATACTTTTATTTACCGATTTTATTGAATAAAGACATTGCCGCTATTATTTATATATATATATATATATATGTGTGTTTAACATAAACTCAAAGATAATAAAGTCCATATAATGACATAATTGTTATTATTAAAAGATCCCTAGTCAAGTATTATTATGGGCATGAACAATAATAATACGCTAAAGACTAACATGTTATTGATTGATGACAATGAGTTGTTATTGAGATAGAGATGTCAGAATTGATACATGATTATATTGTTAGAGAACAATGTATTAGATTGACCGACCATGAGCATATGTCTTGGATTATTATGTGACAGTCATAACATTGCTCATGGTAATGACTATATGTATGATCCTCAGACTTGAGATCAATACTATCCCAACATATCTTGTTGTATGTTTTGATGCAGCTAAACAAGCTTCGTAACTGGTTGATCTATAAAGACTGTTATTGAATATATCTCAGTGGGTGTGTATGATTAAGATAGGATTTGTCCTTCCTACATAATAGGAAATATATCACAGACCACTTGATTGAGTAAGACTAGAAACGCATGGCCATGCACGAATAAGTTGATATGAGATATCATAAACTATTCGTTAATTAAAGTCTACTCTAGATATCAAGAAACAATAGATGGGCTATACAAGTGTGACTATTCCAAGACTTGTGCCTATTCTAGATATAAAGGACATAAGGATGTAATACATAAAAGAGTAATCACCAAGATGATATGTCGAATCATATTTTCTTGTAACTTAGGTGACAATGATATATTGCTAGATATCACTCATTGTATGTAATATTAGAATTGTTCTAATAATTACTGCCAACGTTACAAGAACCTACAAGGTCACACCCTAGGATTGAAACGAGCAAAGATGTATAATTGTTGTACGTTACTAAAATATATATATAGAGTTAATTAAATATATGTTTTAATAATCATGAATATTTAATTTTAATTAATTAAATATAGATTTAATTAATTTGAAATAATAAAATCCCTAATATGATTAGGGTAACTTGGATATAAGAGGATTATTAAATTCCAATTAATTAAATATATATTTAATTAATTTGAAATAATAAAACCCTAATATGATTAGGGTAACTTGGCTCTAAAAGGGCGTGTTAGGTCTAGCAGCCATTGTACAACACACACTCAAAACCTTCAGCCATTTTCTCTTAAAAGAGTTTTGGGGAAAACAAAGATTGCTCTCAATCGGGTGAA